AAATTAATAATCGATACTTGACGTCAAGAATCGATGCAGTAGATCACGAAAATTAGAATCACGATGCATCGTCATGACGATTATTTTGCCCACCCCTAGTCCGAATGGTCTCTGAAACGGGAGTCGTTAGAGGGAATTGTTGGCCTGACTAATAGGCTAGGTGTTCTGCTCCACTATAATGGCGGTTGGGATTGCGATTATAGAGGGAAGAGATCAACTCAAATCCATGTATGGTTCGTTCTTTGGTTTTTTTTTCATTTCAAAAAAAAAAAAAAAAAACAAGCATGTGGTTTTTGGTTTTTCCGTTTTTAAAACTAAATTAGAAAAACAGCATTTGCAAAAATGGAAAAAAAAAGGGTACGTTTTGGGATTTTTTTTAACTGCAATGGTTAAACCAAATGTTAGATTTAATCAATGATTATTATACAATTAATGTATGTACATATAAAACATTGGAGAAATTAGATGCTTCACTCTGCCTTGTGATTCAGTCAGTGGAGCATCCTGTCTTATGACCTGATCAATTGTCCTGTCAGAACAATACTCTGTTTTGTAACCATGTGTTATGTTCTGTTAATAAAAATGCTCTGCAGAGGAGGTCAGAGGGAGAAAGTGTTGGAAAGTTGGGTTGCAGCTCTTTCCCCTTCTGCAGAAGCTGTTGAGAATCCCTTTCTGTGTGAACCTTCTTTTACGAACCTAACACCAAAGACAAACTTTTAATTTTGTTGTTAATTCAAAGGACCTTATGGCAGAACCGGAATTGAAGACCTGAACTCCCAACACATAACTTTTTTAGTTACCAGTAGGTGGCGGTAATGTACGCCTTCAATTTCTTGCCAACCGCCATTACAAACCACAAGAACTTTTTCAGTTAGCATTGCCAAAATGGAAACGTTTGGTTCTGTTCGAAATCCTGGGCTGCATCCTCCAAGGACGCGGTCTACCTAGACTGGATCCTACGAAGTCCGTAAAAATAAGGAGAGTTTTGGCTGTGAATTCCAACAGGTCTACCCTTCGGTGGGTTTTACCGCCGTATGCCCTGTTGCTTAGCAACCGTGAAAGTTGACACACAAAGCAGGAAAAGAATGAAAGTTTTCAAAACTGTTCCTCTAAATTTTCATTTAGATGGCAAAACAAAACTCAAACGCTGTTGATTTTCTATTAATTCGATTTTTCATTTTTTCCATTTAGGTTTTAAAAACGGAAAAACAGAAAAACCGCATGCTTTTGTGTTTTCGTTTTTGTTTTGAAACGAAAAAAAAAACAAAGATTGAACCACACACGGATTAACTCAATTGCTGCATTGTTGTTTGTTTTTTGGAATGCTTCCGACTCGGATGACTGAGAATTCCCTCCACAGAACAGTTTGGTAGGAATGGTTTCTGCTGGTGTCAAACTAGGCGTCGTCAGAACCCTCCAGACGGATGAGAGGTGAAACGTCTTCTAGAGAACTTCTCGTTCAGTTGCTTAGACTGAACTTTTTCAAGTTTGTTTAAAAGAGACGGAAAAAAAACGATGTGGCATCTGGAGTAAAAGATCAAGTCTCTAAAGGAACCAGGGGGCGCCGCAGTCCCAGCAGGAGGCAAATGTAAAACATAAATAAGGACT